CGAGTTGTTACACCACCAACAATAGCATATTCAGAAACTAAGGAGGAAGAGTTAACTAAATCGATAAAGAAAAACATGAAAAGTGTGGTGCTCGAATTGTCGAGCATGGAGAGGAAAGTTTGCGCAGGAGTGGTTGGTGACCATATCCAAGTTGTTGTGCACAAAATGGTCCAAGCTCTTGTGGACAAGAAGGTATGAGCTCTTGTAGACGAGAAAGTCCGAATTGTTCTTGAAGAAAAGAAGATCTGAGTTGAAATTGAAGAGAAGATCTGAGTTGTAGTTGAAGAGAAGATCTGAGTTGTAGTTGAAGAGAATAAATCAGAACATATTAACGTGTTGGTGATAACCAAATTGTCGTTATGATCGAGTTGTTGAAGTGAAACAAGTGGATGTGAAGTCGGCATTTCAGAATGGTGTACCCAAGGAGGAAGTGTATGTTAAGCAATCACTTGGATACGTGAAGAAATGCAAGGAGCAGTCAAGAATATGTTTGTCCCAAGAGGCATATGTAAAGGAGATTCTGAATAAGTTCAAGATGACATATTAGAATTCGGTATCAACCTTCATGGAACCAAGGACAAAGCTTTCCAAATTTGATGGAGGAGACCGAGTTAATCCGAGTAAATATCGGAGCTTAGTTGGAAGTCTTCGTTACCTCACAAGTACCGACCCGATTTGTTACTGAGCATTGGGATTGTTAGTCGGCTTATGGAGAGTCTGAGCTACTCTCATTGAAAGTCGTTGAAGCAAATTTTGAGATATATCTGAGGTACACTGTCACTCAGACCGTTGTATACGAGGTCGGACTATTACTGAATCATGAGGTACTCAGACAGTGACTGGTGTGGAGATGTGACTTATCGGGATAATGTATGGAAGGGGAGCATGAGGTGCTCAAGAAGATAACAAGTTGGCTAGTAGGAAGCTCGAAAGTTTGGAGACCAATAAGTTATTGAAGTACAACAAGTTGTTAATCGGGATATTAGTGTCAAGTCGATCACATGTTTTAAAGCTCAAAAAAGTGTTGAAGACAGCGAGTCGAGAGATCGGAATCAAGTTTATCTCAGTTTTGCTAAAGAAATTTAATTTTATGGGAAATTTTTGTTTGATTTTGTTGAATAAAATTAAATAATCAGTTTTAAGAGTCTATTGGGATAAAAAGATAGTGAGAAGATCATTAAGAGTCAGTTGAAATATTTTGTTATTTTGAGTAGTTTTTATTTGATTTATTGTGTTATTTTAGGTAGTTTTTATTTGATTTTGGTAATATCTTAGGATTGTGTATAAATACATGTTTGTATTCCTCATTTAAGGTATGATAGAGAATCAATAATATACAATTTCACCATTTCTCAAAAGTTCTTTGTTATCAATTATAAATAAATAAATAAAATAATATGGTGCAAATTAAATTACTAAATCATTATTTAAACTAGGTATATCATAATTTCATAATTAAGAGTAGGAACTAATTCGAGCCAGGTAGTTGTACGTCATTCAATAGTTCCTTCCATGTACTACAAATTAGACTTCTTTTCAATATAATTAAGAGCTTATAATTGATCAAACATAATGTCTTTATTTAAGATGGTACCTATTTACATTACTCAAACAAAATTATACATGTAATCATAGATAACAGATAATTAGAAATATATCATAATTGAGCTCAAAGTGTGACAAGTGTCAAATATTCATGTTTTTATACTTAGTTATGGAACTTATCTCATGTAATTTTAAACAAATTAGTGGTAAAAACTCCCAGCAACATCTAATTGTTTACCATTCGAATGGTGAAGAGTAAATAGACAAACTAATGCAAATATTTTTTTAGAATGTGGGTGATAATCAGATAGCAACACTAGACTAAAAGCATTGAACAAATTTTCATCCACTGAGCGAAATTGAGGTAGAGAGGAGCATATCCAAAGTGACAAAAAGCTTTCAACTTTGAATTCGAGCGGATTCGCTTCTGAGAGGAAACCCTTTTGAAAGGGTAAAAGTGCTCAACAAACAGGAATTCGCTGAGCGGATTGAAGCCTTCAAGGTGAAGAAACCTCATTCCTCTTAACGAATTAAAAAATCCTGAGTGGATGGATTAAAATGCTACAAGGTTCCTTGGATATAAATAGAAGAACTAGAAAGAAAGAAAGAAAGAAAGAAAGAAAGAAAGGGAATCGAAGAAAAATTGAGCGCGATTTCAAGAACCAGGGTATGGTAACGGAGGCTAGCTGGATTTGAGCTCTCCTTTTGATACATTTAGGACTTCTCTCATCATGTGTGGCTAATTTCTCTTTTGTTGAATTGGATGTAACTGTTTAACTCTTCTATAAATCTATTGCTATATATGAATTTCTTTCTCCACTTCTTAATTTTGTTCTATTTTAATGTTTGGATTTAGAGGAATCTAACTTCATGATTATAGGAATAGATTTAGGTTGGAAAGTGATTCATGTTTCTAATATGATCTAAATCAATCGGTAAGCTTGACCATTGGGAACAAAAATTAAGATTACTAATAGATGAAAGTCTATGTCTAATGTAAGAATCTTAACCAGTTTATCAAGAAATTGATTGATTGCTCATGATTCTTAGAACTCCATTATTAAAGGAATGAATTTGGATTGAATATGTTAGACTTTCAAGTGAGAATGGAATTCATGCATATATAGATAATAGGTTGTATATGTGTTATCAAAGAAATCCAATTCAGCAATTTGTCTCATTGCTTTTTTTATGTTAATAAGTATTATCTTAATCACTTCAATCATACAATTGTTTCCTAAATTTCATTATTTTAATTCAATGAAAACTAAAATCATCTAATATCTGCAAAGGTCCTGAGGATACGAAAATCTTTTTATAGTTGTACTACAATTGACTCAGTTCACTTGCCGAGGGGAAAATCTAACAAGTTTCTGGCGCCGTTGCTGGGAACTTTGGTCTAGATATCTAATAATTCTTAGTTTTCTTTTGTTAAAACAAAGAACACTTGTAGATATTTTAGTAAGTAGACTAAAATATTTGTATTTGAATTACTCTTGTGCTAAATTCTTGTCTAATTTATTTTTGTATGCAAGGAAAAACTCCAGCTAATCAACTATTTTTTTATCCTGAAACTAAGAGGACAACAAGGAGGAATAATAGTAACACAAGAAGGAATAAGAGACTAGAGCAGCAACTACAAGAGTTTACATCTTCTCCAATCTTAGTTTCAATTCTAGAACCAAAACAAATGCAACACAAGAAAATGAATAGCAATAGAATGCTAACAATCAAAGAAGATTGTTGGGAGGCTATGCAAATCAGCAAAGACCTAGACATTTCTCAAGTATAGTCAGGCGGCCTACAAAGGATGTTGAAACGAAGCCAACCCTGTAATCACTTATTATTTCAAATCAATTTGCAGGAATGGAGCATGAAGACCTTTATAATCACTTGTCTACATTATATGAGTTGTGTGGAGCACCTGTCTAGAAAGAGCAAACAACAAATTCAAGTGTTATTCTGCCAAGTATTGGTGTAGTTGAGCACGAAAGGAAAAGACTCGAGCAAATTTATCCTCATTGAGTTTTAGATTCCCCCACCTCCGACTCATCCTCATTCTACATTATTCCTAAAAAATAATTATATTTATAATAAATTATTTTTCATATTTTTTATACAAAACATATTTATAATTTCCAATTATTATTATTAATTAAGTATATATTTTAATTTATTATGTTTATATTAAAATATGTATGTAAAAAAAATGTTTAATCATTGTTATTCTTTATACACGTATAGAATATTTGTAACATCATTATTATTATTATTATTATTATTATTATTATTATTATTATTATTATTATTATTATTATTATTATTATTATTATTATTATTATTATTATTATTATATCATAACATTGTATTTTAATATTTAATTATATATGAGTTAATTATTTTTGAAATTGTCATTTTAAAATATTTATAAATATAAAATATATAATTTATGAGAAAATATTTAATTAGTTAATTTTTATTTAATTAATTCAAAAATAATAAAAATATTAATTTTTTAAATTCTTCAAAATACAATTATTTTATTAATTATTTTATTAATATAAAATTTGATATATAACAAATAGGAATAATAAAATTTAAAAAATATAACATAATAAAATCTAATAAAGATAAATTAAAAATAAAATAATATTAATTGATACTAAAATTGATATATAATATTTAAAAAAAAATGAACTAATTCATCTAAAAAAATAGAAAAGACAAAATAGTGAAAAATTAGAAAAAGTAAAGTAAAAAAAAAGGTAAAATATAAAAACAAATCTTATATATAACGTAAAAATAAAAATAAAATATTTTTAAAATATCAAAATTTTAATATTTAAATTTAAAGGCAGAGAATATTATATTACTCATCTCCCAATTTTTTTAAAGCATCACTTCAAAAATTAATTGGCATCGCTACTCCTCAGTCTCTTCTGGACATGTGTTTACGCATCACTACAAAAAGAAATATAACCCGTATTGCATAAATGGTATTTGTAAAAATGAGTTTAGGTTATGAGTGAGAAAGAAAAATGAATGTAGATTAGATGCAACGTTAATCATTCAATATTATCTCTATTAAGCTGCGCAAGAAAGCGTACAACTGATCCAAACGTCCATCGTCTTCTTCAACCGTGAAAAAAGACCCAAAGATAAAGTCTGGATAGGAGGTAAGCAAGAATGATTTGGAATTGAGACAATAAACTTAATTGAAAAGAGAAAAAGAAAAAATAACAGGCGAGTATTTCGAATCCAGATGCAATTCCGTCTTCATCCAAAACGTCATAAACAAATAAAAAATACAAATTGCAAATATACAACTTAAACTTCGAATAAAACTAACACGGTCTGAAAAAACAAGAGAATCGTCAAAAATAGACTAGCCCGGTGATTCAGGATGCAGCTGAATTAAGGATTCAACGCCCTTCCATTAAATCTCCAAAAATGTGTCACTTCTTTGATTTCTTTGAAGCTCTGCATAAAGAAAAATATTTTTTTTCAGTTGCATAAAGAGACTTCATTTACACTACAGCATGAAAAACATGTTATTTAAGCACATGTATGAACCACAATACTCACTGCGCAGGCTGGGATGCTGCTGCAGAAGGAGCACTAGGGCCTGCTGATGGCTTCTCGCCGGGACCCTACACATTTAAAAGAGAAAGGATCAAATTTCTCAATACCAACTTCAATAAAAATTCTACAAGACCCCCTAAGTTGCCAAAAGTGGAGTCACTAAGAAAAACATTCATGTATATATCCATAAATGAATAGATTCTGAAAAATTAGATAACTCACTTGAGCCAATCGTTCCTCTCTCCGTGCATTTTTCCTTTCCCTGCTTGCCTTGTTCTTTGCTCGTTTGGCCTCAAACTGGTCAGATAAAGTCTTCTCTCTTGCCTTCTCAGCCTTTGACTTGTGTATGCTCTCCATCAAGACTCTCTTGTTCTTGAACACATTACCCTTTACCTTCATGTACATATCATGGTACATATGCTTGTCAATCTTCTTAGCTTCTCTATATTTGCGTAGCAATCGTCTGAGAACACGCATCCTCCTCATCCAAAGGATTTTGGTGGGAAGCCTTGCCTCTCTTGTACCCTTACGCTTACCTATTAATTTGTATTTCCGCAAAAACTGTTAAAGCATTTTGCAAGTGCCTAGGAACATATAGCAATCCATTTCATATCATGATGCCAACATAGGAATCTTCGTTTTCAAGTCAATTTATTATTTGAAATTGTGATTTACAACATTTGGTGCTACCATATCAGAACTCCATTCACAGATTGCCCATGAGAATTAATAAAAAAATCTGACACGACATTTCACCGTAGCACCACCATTTAACAACACAGTTTTACAGAAGTCTATAAATCTGAACTCTAACTATCTTTATAGTCCTTGAACATATGTTAAGATTGTCACTTAAGACATATGTTGCAAGTAATTTTAGACTAAAGTGAGTGACAAACTACAGTTTCAACGACATTTTTTTTATAATTTCATTAATCAGATGATTAAAGTGACAGCATAATCACAATTTCATGAACTAAATTGACAATTTATTCTTTCACTTTTTATATCCATTTTAGTCCCTACTAGCCCAATATAGCTTGTTCAGCTAAACTATTAGCATAGCACATGTATTACATGGGTCTTTCCGATTGAAATGCAGTTCAATTTAACTTGTAATAAAACAAGGTTCATACATCTAACGGCCATGGATTCTTTTGCAATTGCACAAACACAAATATTGTTGAAAAAAAGAAAGATATATCAGTTAAATACCATATCCAGAGTGACGTCCCTTCCTCTTGGCCTCCTTCATTCGGCGAGCACGGGAGCGGGAGTGAATCTTAGTCGGCTTCCTGATAATGAAGCCATCCTTAACCAACTTGCGGATGTTTTGGCCTGCAAAAGGAAACTCACCAAACTATAAAACGAATTTGCAAACAATATAAATTTAAAAAATAAGTGAAAATGATGTGAAATTAACTGAATTCAGAGAACAATAATTGCCTGAAAGGAACCTAATTATGAGTGAAACAGAGATAAATTGAGAGTGCTTACGAGAATTGGCCATGGAGATTTCATTGACCTCATTAGGGTCAAGCCAAACCTTGCCTCTGCCACACTTTAGAACGCTAGCGGAAAGCCGCTTCTGAAGTTTCAGAGACACCATTTTCCTCTCTCTCTCTCTCTCTCGCCGGTAAGAACGTGAGAACGATGAAAGGAGGCACAATATATATCACCTACATCTTTCAGAAACCCTAGGGTTTTTTATTTTATTTTTTTTGTGCGTGGAGTGCAAGTTTATTAATTGGACCAAACTGGGCCGTGTTGACATTGATGGCCCATTTTCAGAAGATTCTTATCATAGTTATTTAAAATACAAGATCAAATTATTTTATTTAACATTTCTTTGGATCAATCGAATAAATATTTTATTAAAAATATTTCGCGCAAATACATATGATGGGTTCAATTAGAAATTAATTCAAAACCATTTTTAAAAAAGATAAAAAAAATAAGAAGATATATAATTACATTACTAAAGTGTATACTTTTTTTTCTATAGTTATAGATAAATTTAAACTGAAATTCATGGAGGGATTTTAGTTCAATTTTAGATGTGGGTTATCCTCTTTTCTTGTACAAAACATCAACATAGTCATTAAAAAGAACTTTTATATCATTTTTTTTTTGTTTTATTTTAGGTAATGACTCAAAATGGCGTTTTTAAAAGGCTGTATAATTAATTATGCTCAGTTTGATAAGGTGAGTTTTTTTTTTATGTGTATATTATTGAAGGAGTTGTATTTTTTTTGGATGTTGTTTAATTTTATTTTTTTGGTTCTAAGGATTTTGTTTAATACTTTATAAGTATATTATTAGATTTTCAATAATTTTAAAAAGTTTTAATATATAATATATGAATAGTTTTTAAATTCTTTTGTGGTTTTAAATTATTTTTATTTTACAATATGTCATTAGTATTTTTATATTATTAAATATTTCGAATATGAAAATATGTAATTAAGGTGGAAATATGTCATTAGTTTTTAGGGTTCTAATATTTTTGTATTTAAGGTCTTTTTAGTTTTTTTTTTTAAATAGCTCATTACAGTTATAATATTTTTGAAATAAAAAAAGTATAGAATAATTTATTAGGATTTAATATCTCCTTTGGGTTCAGGTTCGTAAATAAATTTAATATTTTTTCTGGTTTTCTTAAATAATTTATAAATATATGATTCAAGTTTTAATAATTTTTAAAAGTTTTAATATATAACATGTGAGTAGGATTTGAATTTTTTAATTTTAATATATATCATTAATATTTTAATATTTTGAAAAGGTTTTGATATAGAGTTTGTCACTAGAATTCAACGTGTCATTAAGTAATTTTTAAATATGTCATTAAATTTATAATATTTTTAATAAGAGTTATATAACTTTATATGATAACTTATCTATGTAATTTTATATTTATGTGTGTAGTGTTGAGGTTTCAATCTTTCTGATATATAAAATTATATTAATTATGAAATAATTATTTAATATTATTTTAAATTTTGAAAATTAATTATTTCATATTTAACCATTTTTCACCTTGAATACATGTTAAATCTTATTAAATTCTAACAAAAAATTTAAATAATTTATTAAATTGTTAAATTTATATTTTTTATTCTTTCAAATTAATTTCAAACTTTCAATTGTTTCTCTTCATTTTTTTTATTGTCTTCTCTCTACTACAATAATCTAATTTTCGTATTCTATTTCTCTCTTCTTTTTTTCATTTTTCACACCAAATTTAAACAAAATATCAAATTCATCCTCTGTTTCAACCTATACATAAATATAATAACTCATAAAATTAATAACTACAACCCTGTTTATGTTTTTTTCTTTTTCTTTTTCTCTCACTCATATAAAAGAAAATCCAAATATAATAAAAGGTCAAGTTAAAATACCTTGCGCTCCACGCACAAATCTTACAAGTCATAAATTTGACCGAGCGACTAACTTATTTTAATTATACTACACCTATTTTGTACTACTGTAAGGTTTAGAATCTTATAATTTATACATCACAATAATTGTTATTTTATTTAGATTTTAAAAGAATATGTAGTGTTGGTCCCAGAATATATCAAGTATAATTTTTAAAACTAATATTATCTCAAATAAACATCATGCACAAAGTTTGATTCTTGAGCTACCTAATTAGCAACAAACACAATTTAAGTTGAACTGAGTTCTTTTTTCTTTCTTTTTCTTTTTCTTTTTCTTTTTCTTTTTCTTTTTCTTTTTCTTTTTCTTTTTCTTTTGATGAATCAGTTAATCTAAGTGATCAAAGTTTAAGGTGGTTTGAAAAAAAAATATTAAAATTTTCTATTGGTTTGTAAAAACTAATTTTAGTTGTTATATATGGAGTTAAAATAGGCTAAAAGTATTGACAAGTACATAACTTGATTGAGTTAAGGTGATTAATATAAAGGTTATACTTAAACATTCTTGGAAATAATATAATAAATATTAACAAAATAAATTTTTTATAGACAAATGTATAATTTTAAAGACATTAAAATACATTGAATTTAAATTATTTTAATTTGAATAGTTGTATTTAAAAAGTAATTTTAATTTATTGAATTTCAATTTTTAAATAAATTATTTTAATTAAAACCAAATAAAAAAATCATTTAAATATTAAATAATATTTAAAAATTCAAAAATATCATTCCATAATTTTTATTTTTATTTTAATATTGTTATTCAGTCAAAGTACGGTAAAAGAATTTCTACTAAAGTCAATCATGTGTGTTTAATTTATTTTTCTATTAAGGTTTTAGTTTAGACTATTAGCATACATTATTGTATTTTTGTATTTATTTTATTATGCATTTATTTGTTTTAGATTACTCATTTGGTTTTGTTGTTGTTGCTGGTAAATGAGTGTTTTAGGAACGTAAATCATATCTGGGAAAGATGAGGAAGGGTAAATATAAAATTAGAATAAAATGAAATAAAACAAAAGACACTACAAAAAAAAAAACCTATTACTTACGGAATATTACCTACAGATAAAAATCCGTAGGTAAATTTTACATTACCTACGGATATTACCTATGGATATTACCCACGGATGAAAATCCATAGGTAAATTGTACATTACCTACGGATATTACATACGGAATTCTATTCGTAGGTAATTATCCATTACCTACGGATATTATCCGTAGGTAATATAATCCGTGGATAATTCCGTAGGCAATTACCTACATAGTTACTATCCATAGGTAAAGTGTACATTACCTACGGATATTACCTACTGAATTACTATCCGTAGGTAAATTATATTAAACTAAAAGAATTGTCACTAGCAAGAATCGAATCCAAGTACCTTAAAGTTGAAAACCGATACTCCAACCACTAAACTATTAGGATATTCTAATAATAATTTACAACTACATTATACTTATATTTATTCGTGTAAATATATAAATATATAAATACATAAATACATAAATATATAAATACATAAATACATAAATATATATAAATAGATAAATATATAAATATATAAATACATAAATATATAAATACATAAATATATAAATATAAATATATAAATATAAATATATAAATACAAATATATAAATATATAAATATAAATATATAAATACAAATATATAAATATATAAATATATAAATATATCAAAATATAAATATATTTTATATTTATATATTTTATATTTATATATATTTTATATTTTATATTTATATATATTTTATATTTATATATTTTATATTTATATATTTACACGGATAAATATAAATATAATTTATTTGTAAATTATTATCAAAATATCCTAATAGCTTAGTGGTTGGAGTATCGACCTCCAACTCGAGGTACTCGGGTTTGAATCCCGCCAATGACAATTCCCATAATCTAATAATAATTCAAAGTTCGAAAATATAATAAATAATAAAAATATAATATAAAGGGGAGGGGGTCCTAGGTAATAATAAAAAATAAGGGAGGGGGTTGTAATAAATAAAAATATTTTGTTTAGGTGAGTGCATTACCTATGGATTAAATTCCGTAGTAGGTAATTTACCTACGGATTTTACCCGTAGATAATAAGCGTTTTTTTTTTTTATAGTGAGAAAGAAGAAAAATTCACAACTCATTTTTAGATTGTTCCATGCTTGTAGAACTACTTCAGAGTGTAGATTTGAAGAGAAAATCAGGAGCAAGTTGTTGATCACTTATTAAGAAGCTTCAGAATGCGAAGTGCAAAGTTTAAAGTAAAAGAAAATCACATCATGTACATGAAACCCTTTAAAGAGTGAAAATTATAGTTAAGAAGAACCATAGACAGATTGTGGACCATTTTTCATGTTTTTAGTCCAACCAAAAACATTGATTTTTTCTATTTTAAAATGGGTTTGGCCCAAAAAGAAAATCATTTCGGACAGAAACTCCTTCTTATCAAGTCAATATGAACTTTTTGGGGCATATAGGCGTCACCATTGCATAAAAGCCCACTCAAATTCATATTTTTCATAAGAAGAGAACTTTGCGATAAAATGGTTTCAGGCATCGGAATCCTGATACATAGGATCCTCATAGGAGGCAAGTGTAGAGCATACTTGTATCTGAGTAGGGAAAGACAAGAATTATATACTTCAGAATTTTAGAGAAGAAAAAACTTAGAGAGAAAACATTTTTAAGAAAGGGAACTTGTATTCGAATGATTCTGCCTTGAAACATTACAAGTCTTTCTATTTATAGGCACACCATACAAGCAAAATTGAAAATTTCGCTAAACTAAATTGAAATTTGGACCGGTAAATATCATACAAAGTGGAATCCGAAGATATTATTACTCACACCTATTATAGTTTTACAAATAAAATAAGATAGGATAAGATAAGATATCTTATCTTAAAGTAAAGTATATTCTTTCTTATCTTCTTTAACACGTTTGCGGTATACGCAATGAAAACGTGTAAAGATAAGGGAATTTTGCTTTAGTAACTTGTCATGATCACAGTCATTAACTAAAGTCTTTACTTTGAATCAGATCTGGTAAAGCTGGAATAATTCATTTATTGTGTCTCGCTCCTTGTCATACTTCCATATAGTGGGTCCCAATAAGGATATATTCT